AAACTGAGTTCAAGCTCCAGGACTCATACAAAACAAAACAAAACAAAAAAAAAGGCTGAGAAGGTGTCTTAGTGGTAGAGTGCTTGTCTAGCATGTCTGAGCCCTGGGTTCATTTCCTCAGTTTCACATAAACAGAAAAAGCTGGAAGTGGTGCTGTGGTTCAAGTGATAGGGTACTATTAGCTTTGAGCAAAAGCTCAGGGACTGTATCCGGACCCTGGACAGGCGAAAGAAAGAAAGAGAAAGAAAGAAAGAAAGAAGGAAGGAAGGAAGGAAGGAAGGAAGGAAGGAAGGAAGGGAGGGAGTGAACTCAGAATACTTCTATCAGTTGCCAGTTGGGCAAAATCATCTGCTATAAAGACTCTTTGTAATAAAATATTGACTATATCATGTAATTTAGTGAATACTGCACTGAAAGTGAAAACAGAAATGGCTGTACAGGTATCATCTCAGTCAGATTATATAAGTATGTTCCATGCAATATTTAGGATGCACATGTAGCAAAAAAAAAAACAACTTTGCTTAAGCTAGGTATATTAGTATGTGTCTATAATCCTAGTACTCAGGCAGGTGGATCCTAAGTTCAAGGCAAGCATGTGCTATATACCAAGATCTTGTCTTGAACACACACACACACACACACACACACACACACACCTTTATCTGAAATTCAATTTTGTATATTCTGTATTTTATCTGCAACTTCAGGTGAGTAAGTTGCTGGCTTCCCTGAAATCACTCTGTCATTTAGCCCTTACTATTCTCCAACCCTCAACACAGTAGCAACCCCGTTCCTCCAAACTGGAGAGCAAGGGGGGAAGGTTCTAGGGCCTGGAAATGCCCTTCACTAAAGCCTGGGGTCTCTCAGGAGGGCTGGCATGGCCTGGCCCTGAGGCTCGGGGGAGGGGCTGAGTGACTGAGGTATTAGCATTTTTCAGGCTTGGGCAGTGGGAAAATGAGTCCCTTGGGCAGCGCCCTTCACTGCCCCGTTGATCTCAGGCAGACTGACCCTCTCCAATGCAGGAGAAAAAAAAAGAGGAACCTGCTAGATCGCTCTACAAAAGAAGGTACAGTTTATGGTGTTGTGTGAGGGATGAGGAAAGGCTCAACTAGAGGCTGAAAAAGAGGAGCCGGGGCCAGGCAGGGCTTACCTGCCCTCACTGCTGCTGCTGGTGGTGAAGAGAGGAGCAGTAAAGGCAGGGGAGGGGGCTTCCAGCTTGCTCTCGCCTCCTTCTGAGAAGCAAGAATGGAGTAGCAGGAGTCCAACTCCCTAAACAGACACCACCTTGCTCAGCAGCAGTCCTGTTCTCACTGGACCCTTGCTGACAGATGCAAACCCACGGATAAAAACAGCAGATTTGGCAGACATGGGGATTCTTGTTTTCTTCTGAGCCAGATCCCTTCATCTATCAAGAAAAGGGTCATTTTTGGATTCTAGCTGCCCAAGGACTAGGTAGTCACTCAAAGTGAAGCAGGGCCTAGGGAGGGTGGGACTGCCCCCAGAGCCCTAAGGCAACCCTCTGTCACAGAGGAGGGACAGAAACTCAGGTCCACCACACCCTAGAACCCTCTGTGAGCTCTAACACCCTTTGCCCCAGCAACGATGACTCACAAAGGCAGGGGTAGACAGAGCCTCCCCTCTGTACTGGAAGGCCCAGGTCACAAAGGACATTAGGGCCTACCTGGAGGAGGCACACCAGGAGACCACCCTGCACTGTGCTCACCCCAGCAGCTGCCCGCTGGGCCGGGCCTGGATTCGGGACTTCTACAGCCACCCCAGTCCCTCCACTGGGCCTCAAGGCTAGTGTGGACAAATGCGAAGCCTTGGTGCCCATGTGTATCATCTGCTTCGTGAAGGCGCTGGTGCATGTGTTCAAGATCTACCTAACAGCAAACTACACCTACAACTTCCGCAGCTGGCCAGTGGACTTCCGCTGGGACGATGTGCGTGAGGCCAGCGCTGGTGGCAGTGGTCACCGCGCGCTGACATGCGCAGCAGCTGCTGCTGGAGTGTGGCTGCTGCATGACGCAGCGCTGGGCGGGGGCATGCCTGGGCGACCGCCACGGGGGGCTCGTAGCCAGGTCCAGTGCCTCCTGCAGCAGATCCGCCAACTGCCCAGCCAGCTAGCCAGCTACGCCCTGGCTCACTCGCTAGGCCGCTGGCTGGTATATCCTGGATCCATGTTCCTGATGACGCGTGCGCTGCTGCCGCTGCTACAGCAGGGCCAAGAGCGCCTGGTAGAGCGCTACCGTGGCCGGCGCGCCAAACTGGTGGCCTGTGACGGCAATGAGATTGACACCATGTTTATGGACCGCAGGCAGCACCCTGGGAGCCACGGCCGCGGCCTGCGCCTGGTCATCTGCTGTGAAGGCAATGCTGGCTTCTATGAGATGGGCTGTCTTTCCGCACCACTTGAGGCTGGATACTCAGTCCTAGGCTGGAACCACCCGGGCTTTGGGGGCAGCACAGGTGCACCTTTCCCTCAGCACGACGCCAATGCCATGGACGTGGTGGTCAAGTACGCGCTGCACCGCCTCCACTTCCCCCCGGCTCGTGTGGTGGTCTACGGTTGGTCTATCGGAGGCTTCACGGCCACATGGGCCACCATGACTTACCCAGAGCTAGGTGCGCTGGTGCTGGATGCCACTTTCGATGACCTTGTACCACTTGCTTTGAAGGTCATGCCCCATAGTTGGAAGGGGCTGGTGGTGCGCACAGTACGAGAGCATTTTAACCTCAATGTCGCCGAGCAGCTGTGCTGCTACCCAGGGCCTGTGCTGCTGCTCCGGCGTACACAGGATGACGTGGTCAGCACTGCGGACCACTTGCCCACCCTAGCATCTGGTGACATGGAAGGTGATGTGGAAGGCAACCGGGGGAATGAGCTGCTGCTACAACTGCTGCAGCACCGATACCCATCAGTGATGGCCCGGGAGGGCCGTAGCATTGTCACCCGCTGGCTGCGTGCCAGTAGCCTGGCGCAGGAGGCTGCCTTCTATGCCCGCTACAGGGTAGATGATGAGTGGTGTCTGGCGATGTTGCGCTCCTACCGTGAACGCTGTCAGGAGGAGTTGGAGGATGTGGAGACTTGGGGACCACATGGGCCCACCTTCCCCTGGCTTGTGGGCAGGGGCCTGAGTCGCCGGCGGCGCCGGCAGCTGGCCCTGTTCCTGGCCCGCAAGCACCTCAAGAATGTGGAGGCAACTCACTGCAGCCCACTAGAGCCAGAGGACTTCCAGCTGCCCTGGGGGCTGCCCCCACGTAGCTAAGATGTCTCAGCACTAGCGCATCTTCCAGGCTTTGAGTCTGTTTCCCCTCTACACCCAACCACAAAAGCTGGCCCTCTAGGATGCTGACTCTGTGTCTAGGGAAGGCAAGCAGTATATCTGGACTACGGTTGGTCTATCGGACTGCGCTGGGACCTTCTGTCTGTTCTGCTCTTCCTCTTCCTCCTCCTCTTCTCTCCCTCCCACAAACACTTCTGGATGCCGGTGCAAAGGGAATGCAAAGATATACCCTGGCCTAATTTATGGTAATGCTGCGTGATAAGATGTCTAATCAAAACAAAAGGCTCCTGGGAAAACTGTGTGCCACAGGGGGGCGTCCTTCCTACTGGACTGGGTTCCAGTATGGCTCCCAGGAAGTGTCAGTTGAGTGTTGTGTGTACAATTGTCTCTAGCTATGTAAAGAGGACATTGGTACTGCAGGGCTATAGTGCACGGCTCAGCAGCTGGATATTCTCAAATGTTGTGCAAGGCTCTCTTCCCACCTACACATTCAGTGGGGAGCCGGAGGTATTGAAGACTCAACAGTATGCAGGGTATCATGGATCCTAACCATACCAGCATGAACCAGTTGTTACTGGTGTCTCCTCTTGGGCCAGGCCTGGACCTTGATCAGGTTTGCAACACAGAAAGGCACTTTCTGTCACCACCTCCTGTGAGGCAGCTACTCACAAAGCAGGGACGGCTGGCTGTCTGTCACCTCTAGCCATGTGGACAGGATGGCCAGATTGGATTGAGTAAGGAGGCAGGCAGAAAAGACATATTATTGGGCAACCCAGAACAGAATACAGACATGCTGTGGATGACACCTGTAGCAATGGGCACTAGGTAAAGGGACAGGCAGTGAGTGGCAGGTTTCCATGCCTGGGGGCTGTATCTGCAGGGGCATGGAAGTGTGAAGTGCAGTGTAGGGGGCTCAAGCCTGAAAACCCATTTTTGGATTTTCTTCCATGAGTAAACAGAAGCCAAATAGTTATGGAACTATTTTCTCTGTTCTTTCTTTTCTTTCTCGTGTGTGTGTGTGTGTGTTCGGCCCGGGGCTTGGAACTTAGGACCTGGACACTGTCCTTGGGTTTTTTCGCTCCAGACGAGCGCTCTACCGCTTGAGCCGCAGCGCCACTTCCGGTTTTCCGGCGGTTCCCTGGAGATGAGTCTCCCGGCCTTTCCTGCCCGGGCTGGCTCTGCACCGCGGTCCTCGCGCGCAGCCCGCGGAGGGGCTGGGTGGCAGGCGCGCGGCGGGGCCCGGGGCTGGCCGCGCCTCGGCCAGGCGCTTCACGCCGGTGGCGGCGAGACGCGGGCCGGGCCGTGGGCACCGCGCGGCGCCGGCGGGCCGGGGCGCGACCCTGCCCCGCGCCTCCCCGCGCCGCGGGCCTCCCGGGAAGGGGGCCGAGCTCCGGCGCGGGGAGAGGAACTGACGGGAGCGACCGAGGGCCGACCTCGGGGGCTGCCGGGCCGCGCGCGCCGCCTGCGGCCGCGGCGCGGCGGGGGCCGCTCTACCCGGGCCCCTCGCTGGCGGCGTCCGCCCGGGAGGACGCCCCACCGCCTCGGCTTCCGGCCTCGCTGCAGCTTCGGCCTATCAGGTTGGAGCGCAGAAACCGAGCTGGCCAACAGACGCTCCCCATTGGACGGCTCTTGAGAGGGCGGGACGAAGGCGAGGCGCCCGCCGCGGAAGTGGGCTGGCGCAGCGTTGATGACGCGTCGCCGCGGGGCTCGGCGCTTCCGCTGGCTTGTGTGTTCTCGGCTGGCGACGCCCGGCGCTGCCCGCCCTGCCGGCGCTCCTCCGGCGCCCGCCCCCGACTCCGACCCCAGCTGCCGCTCGGCCGTCGCCGGACCATGGACTCCGCGGGCCAAGGTACCTGCCGGGCCCGCACGGCACGGGTGGCCCGCGCCGGCCCGCGCCCCGACTCGGGGGGTCTCGGCTTCTCGCTCCCCGGGTTCCCGCCGCACGGCCCCCGTCGCGGCTGGGGCCCCGGGCCCCGAGGCTTACGGGGGTCGCGGCTGGGGCCCCGGGCCCCGAGGCTTACGGGGGTCGCGGCTGGGGCCCCGGGCCCCGAGGCTTACGGGGGTCGCGGCTGGGGCCCCGAGGCTTACGGGGGTCGCGGCTGGGGCCCCGAGGCTTACGGGGGTCGCGGCTGGGGCCCCGAGGCTTACGGGGGTCGCGGCTGGGGCCCCGAGGCTTACGGGGGTCGCGGCTGGGCCCCGGGCCCTTCCGGCCGCTCCGCGGCCTGTTCCCCGGGCGCCGGCCCCTGGTTCCCGGAGTGGCGCTCGTTGCGCCCGCCCGCCTGGCCCGAGCGCAGGGCCCCCGTGGGGACCCCAGCGGGCGCCGGCCGTGGGCCCAGGCGTTGTAGCTGTTCCTCGCGTTCCTCCCGGTGCCCCTTGGGTGGCAACGCTGCTCCCAGCCCAGTCTACTTAGGGGTTTCCTCATGGGGCACACCCAGCACTCCAGGCCGGTTTCCAGCACACACACACACACCCCAAACACACAGACACCCCCCCCACACCACACACACCCCAAACACACAGACACACCCCCCACACCACACACACCCCAAACACACAGACACACACCTCAAACACACACACCACACACAGACACACACACTCCAAACACACACACCCCAAACACGCACACACCACACACACACACACCCCACACACATCCCAAACACGCACACACACAGACACACACACTCCAAACACACAGACACACACACCCCACACCACACACACCCCAAACACACACACACTCCAAACACACACACCCCAAACACGCACACACCACACACACACACCCCAAACACACAGACACACCCCCCACACCACACACACCCCAAACACACACAGACACACACACCCCAAACACACACACACCACACACACACAGACACACACCCCAAACACACAGACACACCCCAAACACACACACCACACACTCACACCCCCCCACAGACCCCAAACACACACACACACCACACACACACAGACACACACACACCAAACACACACACACAACACACACACATACTCCAAACCAGTAGGAGATGGCCCCTGTGGAGAATAGGGCAGATCCAGGATTTAGTAAAATCTTGAGAAAGTAGTACAAAGTCTTCCTCCAGAGAGAGAGGATGCTGAATTCATTCCTGCATTGTCATAGCTACAAGAGAAGTTCAAACGGACGCCTTTCCACCATTTGACCTGCATCAGTATTTCAGTTAAGCACTAGAATATCCAAGATTTGATACACTCTGGATGATTTTCATGTGTGTTTCCTGGGATCTGAACTCAAGGCGTGTCACTGTTGCTCAGTGTTTTTTTTTGTTGGTTTGTTTGTTTTTTTGCTTAAGGCTAGAGCTCTGTCACTTAAGCCATACCTCCGCTTCTGGCATCTTTATTGATTAATTGGAAACAAGAGTCGTTGAGGCTTTTTTGCCTGCACCGTATTCGAACCACAATCCTCAGATGTCAGCTTCCTGAGTAGCTAGGATTACAAGTGTGAGCTACTGGTGCCGTGCAGTCTTTCTACTTTTGATGCATGTCTGCAAATATTTCAAGATCGAAGGTCTCTAGCTCTGACGAATTCAGTCGTTTTTATTATTTCACTTGCATCTCTGATTCAGTTAAGCACCACAATCACTAGATTCTGATATTACAGGTGATGGGGCTGGAGCTCAGTGGTAAAGTACTCGCCTCGCTATGTGAGGCCTTGTGTTCAATCCTCAGCAATACATAAAAACAACAAAACAAAACACTGATCGCTTAACTAGGGCCAGACACTAGTCTGTTTCTCAAATGGCTTTCTGTAATTTCAGAGTAACCCACTGAGGATTTATCCTTGTATTATTCCCATTTTGAAGATGAATGTAGACCTTAAGCTCTTGCTCAGCTTTTTTGATCAAGGCTGGTGGTGTACCACTTGAGCCACACCTCCACTTTTGGCTTTTTGCTGGATAATTATAGATGAGTTTTTCAAATTTGTCTACCTGGGATGGTTTATGAAACTATGATCTTCAGCCTTGTGAGACACCAACTTGCTTGCATCTTTTTTTCTTTCTTTCTCTGTTTTTCTTTCCTTCTCTTTCTCTCTTCTTCCCTTTCTTCCTCCTTTTTCTGTTTTTTTGTTTTTAATTTTATTTTATTGTCAAGGTGATGTACAGAAGGGTTACAGTTACATAGGTTAGATAACGAGTACATTTCTTTTTTTTTTTAATTTTTTTTTTTTTTAAATCGCCGGGGTTCTGAGTGCTCTATATAGTTTTTTTTTTTTTTTTTTTTTTTGTCGGTCGTGGGGCTTGAACTCTGGGCCTGGGCGTTGTCCCTCAGCTCTTCAACTCAAGGCCAGCGCTCTACCACTTGAGCTACAGCGCCACTTCCACGAGTACATTTCTTTTTCTTTTTTTTTTTTTTGGTCGGTCGTAGGGCCTGAACTCTGGGCCTGGGCACTGTCCCTCAGTTCTTCAGCTGAAGGCTAGCGCTCTACCACTTGAGCCACAGCGCCACTTCCGGCTTTTTCTGCTTATGTGGTGCTGAGGAATCGAACCCAGGGCCTTATGCATGCAAGGCAAGCACTCTACCACTGAGCCACCTTCCCAGCCCAATGAGTACATTTCTTGTCGACCATTCGTATCCCCTCCCTCATTTTTCTCCCACTTTCTCTTCCCCCAGTTCCCTCCTCCTGGTTTCTTTCTCTTTTCCTTCTCTGTCTTTCTTTTCATCCCTCCCCTCCTCCTTCCTTCTTTTCTTCCTTCTTCTTCCCTCCCTCCCTCCCTTCTTTCTTCTCTCTCACTCTTTCTCTTTCCCTCCCTCCCTCTCCCCTCTTTCTTTCTTTTTTTTTCTTTCTTTCTCTTTCTTTCTTTTGTCGGTTGTGAGGCTTGAACTCTGGACTTGGGCGCTGTCCCTGTGCTCTTCACCTCAAGGCGAGCGCTCTACCGCTTGAGCCACAGCGCCACTTCTGGTTTTCTAGCGGTTTATTGGAGATGAGAGTCTCACGAACTTTGCTGCCCTGGCTGGCTTTGTACCGCGATCCTCAGATCTCAGCCTCCTGAGTAGCTAGGATTACAGGTGTGAGCCACTGGTGCCCAGCTCTTTCTTTCTTTCTTTCTTTCTTTCTTTCTTTCTTTCTTTCTTTCTTTCTTTCTTTCTTTCTTTCTTTCTTTCTTTCTTTCTTTCTTTCTTTCTTTCTGCAGATGCTCTACCACTTGAGCCATGCCTCAGTCCTTTTTTCTTTGGTGGTTTTTTTTTAAAGTAAGTTTTTTATTGTGAAAATACTGTACAAATGGGTTATAGTTATATGAGCAAAGTAATGAGTATGTTTCTTACCAAGCATTGTGGCCTCCTCCTTTGTTTTTCCCCTACCATCCCTTCCCTCCCATCTCCACAACTACACTCCCCCCCCTCCCCCAGCCTAAATTGTAAAGTTTGTTTTTCAACATAGCGTCTTTACATCTCATTGTTGCAGTGGGTCAGCCTGTATCCCTATTTAAACAATTTGTTTTTTCCCTTCCCCTCACCAAATTATACCAATATCAAATACAGTGAAAACGGGTAATACCATGGGGGAGTCTTTGGTAGTTTTTCTTGTAGGGTCTAGCCTCAGACCAATCCTACCTATGGCCTCCCTTGTAGTTTAGCTTATAGGACCTCTACCACTATGTCCAGATTTTGGTTGAGATGACGTTTTCCTAATATTTTTTTGCCTAGGCTGGTCTCATACTACAATCCTTCCAGTCTCTGCCTCCTGAGTAGCTGGAATTACAGCCCACCGAGCCTCAGCCCCATCATACCTGCCTTGAGTACACTGTCTTAAAGACCCTAGGGGTGAGGGCTCCGGATCACTAGTTTGCCTCTGGCATCAGCTTCTCAATTATTTTCTGTAATTCTTTTGCTAAGTATTAAATTCAAATCCTGGCCTCCACCAAGATTGGAGCCTGGGATTTGAATGCCTTCTACCTGTGAGGTTCTTATCTTGCAGAGTGACTATAGGTTGCTTAGTACATATTTGGTAATTACCAAGTTTGTATCTGGGAGTAATTTCTGTGGGATCCAATTTTAACTTCACAGGCAGAAACTGTTTTGATGACCTTCACTTTTTTTTTCCCCTAGTGCTGGTTCTGGGGCTTGTACTCAGGGCCAGAGTGATATCCTTGAACATTTTTGCTCAAGGCTATGACTCAATTGGAGATGAGAATCTCACAGATTCTCCTGCTTGGACTGGCTTTGAACTGTGATCCTTACGTTTATCTCCTGAGTAGTGAAGATTACAGACATGAGCCACTGGATCTTGGCTCCTTTTTTTTTTTTTTAACATATGTGAGAAAACTTGTAGAGATTTCAAAGAGTATACTGAACTTGAGTAACTTTTTTTTTGGTCCTGGAGCTTGAACTCTGGCCTGGGTTCTGTCCCTGAGCTCTTCAGCTCAAGGCTAGTGCTCTACTGCTTGAGCCACAGTGCCATTTCTGGTTGGCTTTCTGGTGATTAATTGGAGATAAGAGTCTCCTGTCCAGGCTTGCTTTGAACTGTGATCCTCAGATTTCAGCCTCCTGAGTAGCTAGGATTATAGACGTGAGCCACCGGCGCCCAATGAGTAACTTTTTTTTTTTTTGGGTCCGGTCGTGGGGCCTGAACTCTGGGCCTGGGCGCTGTCCCTCAGCTCTTCAGCTCAAGGCTAGCGCTCTACCTCTTGAGCCACAGCGCCATTTCCGGCTTTTTTCTTTTTGCTTATGTGGTGCTGAGGAGTCGAACCCAGGGCCTCATGCATGCAAGGCAAGCACTCTACCACTGAGCCATCTTCCCAGCCCTTTTTTTTTGCCAGTCTTGGAGCTTGAACTCAGGGCGGAGGCTCTGTCCCTGAGCCTCTGTGCCCAAGGCTAGCACTCTGCCACTTGAGCCACAGTGCTACTTCTGGCCTTTTCTGTTTACGTGGTACTGAGGAATCAAACCCAGGGCTGAATGCAAGCTAGGCAAGCACTCTACCACTAAGCCACATTCCCAGCCCCTTGAGTAACTTTAACATTGGCTAGAAATGATGAAGTAATATCAGACTGGTCTCAGTTAAAAACCAGAATCAGAGCCAGACACTGGTGAGTCACTTCTGTAATCCTAGCTACTGCAGAAGCTGAGATCTGAGGATCATGGTTCAAAGCTAGCCTGGGTAAGAAAGGCCATGAGACTCTCACCTCCAATTAACCATTAGAAAACTAGAAGTAGAGATGTGGTTCAAAGTGGTAGGGTACTAGCCTTGAGCAAACAAGCTTAGGGATAGTGCTCAGACCTTAGTTCAAGCCCCATGACTGAAAAAATAAAATTAGACTCAGGTGCAGTGCGGGAGGGAGGAAGGGTGACCAAATGCAGTCATGGTATTCATTATATACTATGTGGAGAATGAACTAAGCAGCTTGTGGGCAGGGATGGGAGGGAGAAACAGGGAAAGCAAAGGAATGGGTGACATTGTCCCAAAAGAGAAATGTGCTCATTACCTGACTTAAAAACTGGCAACCTCGGGCTGGGAAGGTGGCTCAGTGGTAGAGCGCTTGACTTGCATGCATGAGGCCCTGGGTTGGATTCCTCAGCACCACATAAGCAAAAAGAAAAAAGCCAGAAGTGGTGCTGTGGCTCAAGTCGTAGAGTGCTCGCCTTGAGCTGAAGAGCTGAGGGACAGTGCCCAGGCCGAGTTCAGGCCCCACAACAGGCAAAAAAAAAAAACAAAAAAGAACTGCTCAGAATGCAGTGTGCACCAGTGAAGGGAGACCTCAGGGTTAAGAACCGCTCAGAATAGTGTGCATTAGGCGTCAAATGCACTGAGCTTTGCACAAAGCTTGAGACAAAATCTCAGGAAAGAACTGTTATTCTGAGCTAAAACTACTCTAGAAAACTTACTATTGGGGCTGGGAAGGTGGCTCAGTGGTAGAGCACTTGCTTGCATGCATGAGGCCCTGGGTTTGATTTCTCAGCACCACATGAGCAGAAAAAGCCAGAAGGGTGCTGTGGCTCAAGTGCTAGAGCACTAGCCTTGAGCTGAAGGCACTGGTGGCTCATACCTGTAATCCTAGCTACTTAGATGGCTAAGGTCTGAAGATCACAGTTCAAAGGCAGCACAGGCAGGAAAGTCTATGAGGCTCTTATCTTCAGTTAGCCAGCAAAAAGCTGGAAGTGGAACTGTGGCTCAAATGGTAGAATGCTAGCCTCAAGCAAAGAAACTCAAAGATAGTACCCAGACTTGAGTTTATGCCCTCAGACCAGCTCTTCTACCTCCTAAAAAAGGTCAGAATTGGGAGTATTTAACTCCCATTTCCTGCATTGATAGCAGGAAATGTTTCTTTCTCTATTTCTGCCTACTTGAACACTGTTATACAAGATTGTTTCTAACACTTTTTTTTTTAAATAGAATTAGGTGGTCGTGGTGGTGCAGGCCTGTGTTTAGCACTGAGGAGCTGAGGCAGGAGGATCCCCAGTCTGAGCAGCCTGGGCTGTGTAATGACCCTGTTTGAGCAGAAAACCAGTGAGGGGGAAAATCAGTCAGTAAATTAAAAAAAAAAAAAGATGTGCAAACATGTTTCATTTACAAAACGTCTTTGCCTAGGAATTGGACAACTTCAGTGATATGGGACATGCAAAGGATATAAGTGCAACCAGACACTTGTAATCTTTGATTTTCAGTGCATCCAGTCTGTTTTAATACAGTTTTCTTCCTTTCCAATTGTTTTGCCTTTTTTGGGGGGCGGGGGAGTCGGTCATGGGGCTTGAACTCTGGGTCTGGGGTCTGTTCCTCAGCTCTTCAGCTCAAGACTAGTGCTCTACCATTTGAGCCACAGCTCCACTTCTGGCTTTTTCTGCTCATGTGGTGCTGAGGAATTGATCCCAGGGCCTCCTACATGCAAGGCAAGCGCTCTACCACTGAGCCAACTTCCCAGCCCCAAGACTTACTATGCTTTGGGCATATTGTTTCTTCACTCACTCTAAAAAATGGAAAATTGGTTCGTTCTGGCTGCTTTTATTTTTATTTTAAAGCAATGGTTTCCTGCAAGAAGAGATGATGCTCTCCCTGGGAAAACAGAATTAAGGTTTAGCTGCCTTGGCCTGTGTTTCTGGTGTCCCAGCAATGTAAGACGGTGATGTGTTTGTGTCTCAGCTGTCTGACACATCAGTGCTGCTCTGCATCCAATGCCTGCACTGTTGATAGGCCTCTCACAGGGCAAGTGTCATTGGTCTTTGTTGTTTCCTTCCATCTCTCTCTCTGGCTTTCCATTTTTGGCTTTCTTTCAGTGGAGTGATAACTTACTTGACACCCTCTGACCTCATTTTGTTTCTGACAGACATCAATTTGAATTCTCCTAACAAAGGTATGCTGTCTGACTTCCTGACTGACGTCCCTGTTGACCCAGGTGTGGCTGCTCGGACCCCTGCTGTGGAGGGTCTGTCAGAAGCGGAGGAGGAGGAGCTCCGGGCTGAGCTTGTCAAGGTGCTGCAGCTCTATTGTCTATCCTGGTGATCATGAGCTAAGGCCTTGAGTTGTAAGAGCAGAACACTGATAGTGCTCTGGTGGAATTGCTTAGGTGGCTGTCTACCTATTGTGTGTTCCCACCCGTCTCTTTGTATATTCTCAGCTCCTGAGATTGGACTCAGCCATCTGGCAGATGAGGCAGGGCCTGGCCTCATCCTCCTGCCTTGGCCTGGTACCTTGTAGGTGTTCAATAAAGAGCATGTCCATACATGGTGCCTCTTTAGGCATGCTTTCTGCTAGGATTAGCAATAGACAGTTGTTTTACAACCTCACAAGTTGCTGTTGAAACTGGTGAATCATGCCTGTAGTCCTAGCTACTGAGAAGGCTGAGATCTGAGGATCAAGGTTCAAAGCCAGTCTAGCAACCAATCCAAGAGACTGTCCAGTTAACCAGCAAAAAGCCAGAAGTAGAGCTGTGACTCAAGTGTTAGAAAGCCAGGCTTAAGTGAAAAAGCCAAGCAAGAAGGAGATCTCGGTCCTAAGTTCAATCACCGGTACTGGCACCAAACCAAAACCTTACAAATGTGTTTGTACTAGGTTGTGTGTGTGACTAATGTTTGAGCGTAGGGCTTTGTGCTCGCTGGGCAGGCAGTACTCTACCACTTGAGCTATGTTCCCAGCTCTCCAATCATAATTTTTTTATTCAAACTAACTTCTAAGAGTTTTATTCCATCTCACGATAAGATTTTATCAGTGACTTATTTCAATTTTTACAATTACTGATTAACCCCCCCCCCCCCCAAAAAAAAAAAAAAAAAAAAAAAGCACGTAGCCAGGCAAAATGTGGAACTTTGCTTGCCGAAGTCCTCTGGTCTGTCGCTAGAGGCCAGCCCAGTTTCGATGTGCTCCCTTCTGAGCATAGTCTGAGGCTAATCTGAGCATAGTCAGCTGAAGTTGCTGGGCTGCTCAGCAACAGCTTTCAGACCCAGGGTGACCACTTTGATTTTAGAATAGGTTGACGTGGAGACTGAACACAAAGTCTTTTTTTCAGAGTTGAATTTCAAGGTGAAATTTTGTGTCACTTAAAATTTTCAATTTGAGGGGCTGGGAATGTGGTTTCGTGATAGAGTGCTTGCCTAGCAGGCATGAGGCCCTGGGTTCGATTCCTCAGTACCACATACACAGAAAAAGCCGGAAGTAGTGCTGTGGCTCAAGTGTTAGAGTGTTAAATAACCTTCAGCAAAAGAAGCTCAGGAACAGTGCCCAACGTCTTGAATTCGAGCCCAACGACCGGCAAAATAAAACCAAAAACAAAAAAACAATTTGAGCTGGACACCAGTGGTTCATACCTGTATTCCTAGCTATTCAAGAGGCTGAGATCTGAGGATTGCAGTTCAGTGCCAGCCTAGACAGGAGAGTCCATGAGGTCTTATCTCCATTAACCAATAACAAAGCCAGAAGTAGAGCTGGTCCTAAATCCAAGCCCCAGGACCAGTACCAAAAATGTTAAAAAAAAAAAAAAAAAATCAATTTGAATTGGGCACAGGTGGCTTGTGCCTATTATCATACTATTCAGGAGGCTGAGTCTGAGGATCAAAGTCTGTGGGATTTATCTCCAGTTAACCACCAAAAAACAGCAAGTAGAGGTGTGGCTGTAGTGGCAGAACATCAGCCTTGAGCAGAGAAGCTAGGGGTACAGCACCCAGGCCCTGAGTTCAAGCCCCAGTATTGACCTCTCCCCCCCAATTTTTTTTAAAACTAATTTGTGTGTGTTGTGCCCTTTTGTCCATCACACTGGATGTGTGATGTGCACATCACTGCTTCTGCTGCTGCATGATTGTGGCACTGGTTGGGCCATAGGTGATCATTCTTGTTTCATCTACTTCCCAGAGTAGAACCTGGTGTTAAGCAGGCCCTAAGGTTGTTTTTTGTTTTGTTTTGTCCAAGATCAGGACTTGAAGATCTCTTGATCTGATGCTTTTACTCATTGGCTTATGCTAAGTTGTTGAGGGGTTTTGGTGTTTTGTTTTGTTTTTCCCTGCTTTAAGCCAAACGCTGTTTTTTGTTTTGTTGGTACTGGAGTTTGCACTCATGGACTCATTCTTGCAGGGTGGGTACCCTACTACTTGAGCCCTACCACCAGCCTCTTCCTTTATTTTTCCCTCATAGTCAAGCCTTTTGGTCTGGGGCAAGCCTCCTACCTCATTTTCCTACCTATGCCTCCCAGTTATCTAGGTCTACAGATATGAATCACTATACCCAGGTTATTTGTTGAGATGGGGTTTCTTGCCAGCTTTTTTTTTTTTTTTTAATGTAGGAGAGGGCTGGGTTGGCCTTAAACTGTGTTCCTTCTTATCCCTGCCTCCCAAGTAGTATGATTACACTATACCTAAACTGATTTTTCTTTTCTTCTTCTTCTTTCCTTTTATGCTGGCACTGGGCCTTGAACTCAGGGCCTCATATTCTTGCTTGGCTTTTCATTCATGGCTATTAATTACTCTGCTATTTGAACCGTGTCTCCTATGTTGCCCAAACTGGCCCCAAACCCATATTGCTGGAGTGACCCTCCTGCTTCAGCTTCCTAAGTAGCTTTTGCTAGAAGGGTACACTACCTTGCCTGGCTGAAAAGTGTGTGTGTGTGTGATTTTATATTTTTCGCATAGCTACTTACATAGAGAGTGAAAATATTCACTGAAGCTTTTATGACAGAAAAGCTCCAAAGAGGACCCTTTCATTAGTCACTTAAAGAAAAATCAAGTCCTTCTGTCAAGTCTTCGGTAATCCACTTCAGGCTGCCTTAAGGCACAAAAGGGAATTTACTTTTTGGTCTGTGTAGCTGTCTTTTGCCAAGGCCTAGAGCTAAGCTATGAAACAGATAGGCATAGGTGTTTCTCTCTCCCCCAGGCCCTGTTCAGCCACCTGCTGCTCTGCTTCCTCCTTGCTGTACGGGGTTCTCCTGGGCCCAGCTGAGGCTGTGCTGGCAGCATGGCCAGGTACTACCTACCAAGCCAGATGCAGTGTTCAAAAGAAAGGCAGCTTCTGTCTTGACAGCATACTTAGACCCAGGAAGAGTTTGGGTTTTTTTGTTTGTTTTTTTGTCGTTTGTGGAGCTTGAACTCTGGGCCTGGGTGCTGTCCCTCAGCTCTTCAGCTCACGGATAACACTCTACCACTTGAGCCACAGAGCCACTTTTGGTTTTCTGGTGGTCTGTTGGAGATAAGAGTCTCATAGACTTTTCCTACCCAGGCTGGCTTTGAGCCACGATCCTCAAATCTCAGCCTCCTAAGTAGCTAGGATTATAGGTATGAGGTACCAGTGCCTGGCTTCAGGAAGAGTTTTTGACCGGCCTCACTTGGTTCTCCTGAGAGAGACTTCAGACCCCTGGGCAGGGGTCTGTCTGTTCAGTGATTGGAAGACCCAGCAGAACAACATGGCGTAGGGTGGGAAGTTGGAATGAATAGTTTTCTAGAAGTTGGGGTATTGGTGCCAGGTGAGCAAAACAGCTCTTGTAGTAGAGTCCTTGATTCATTTTTTGCCAGTCCTGGGGCTTAAACTCAGGGCCTGGGCGCTGTCCCGGAGCCACAAGGCCAGTGCTCTACCAGTTGAGCCACAGCCACTTCCAGTTTTCTGGTGGTTAGAGATAAGAGTCTCACGGAGGGGCTGGGAAGGTGGCTCAGTGGTAGAGCGCTTGCCTTGCATGCCTGAGGCCCTGGGTTCGATTCCTCAGCACCACATAAGCAAAAAGAAAAAAAAAGCCGGAAGTGGCGCTGTGGCTCAAGTGGTAGAGCGCTAGCCTTGAGCTGAAGAGCTGAGGGACAGCGCCCAGGCACAGAGTTCAGGCCCCACAACCAGACCCAAAAAAAAAAGTCTTGCGGACTTTCTTGCACAGGCTGGCTTTGAACTGTGTTCCTCACATCTCAGCCTCTTGAGTAGCCACTGACACCAGGCTAGGATGTGTTCTCTCTCTCTCTCTCTTTTGGCTGGTCAAAGGGCCTGAACCCTGGGCCTGGGCACTGTCCTTCAGCCCAAGGCAAGCACTCTTACCACTTGAGCCACAGTGCCACTTCTGGCTTTTTCTGCTTATGTGGTATGGAGGAATTGAACCCAGGGCCTCATGAATGCAAGACAAGCACTCTACCACTGGGCCACCTTCCCATCCTGGGTCTGTTCTTAAGATGAACTTTGTTTCTCTTGTGTGTGTCAATCCTGCGGCTTGAACTCAGGGTCTGGATGTTGGTTCTCTCTTAGTTTTTCTACTCAAGGCTGGTGCCCTTCCACTTGAGCCACAGCTCCATTTCGGGCTTTTTGGTGTTTCATCAGAGATAAGAGTCTCATAGACTTTCTTCACCTGGCTGGCTTTGAACCACAATCCTCAGATCTCAGCTTCCTGAGTAGCATGTCCTTTAGCTTTTCACTCAAAGCTGGTGCTCTACCACTTGAGCCACAGCTCTACTTCTAGCTTTTTGGTAGTTAATTGGAGATAAATGTCTCACAGATTTTCCTGATTGGGCAAGCCTTGAATTGCAATCCTCAGATCTCAGTCTCCTGAGTAGCTAAGATTACAGCCATGAGCCACTAGCTCCCAGCAAGTTATTTCTTTAAGTGGGAAGTTCTTAAGTAATTCTGGAACCCTCACTGTAGTATATATAAGGATGTCACTTTCCTTGATAGCGATGGCTTGTCATGACACCCGCATGTTTTACAGGTAGAAGAAGAAATTGTCACTCTGCGCCAAGTCCTGGCAGCCAAGGAAAGGCACTGTGGAGAGCTGAAAAGAAGGCTGGGCCTCTCCACCTTAGATGGGCTGAAGCAGAACCTGTCTAAGAGCTGGCATGACATGCAGGTCTCTAATGCGTAGGTACCAGCCCCAGAGTGGTCACCCCTGGTATGGCACAAAGTGCAAGACTCTAGTGCGTAGGACCAGCCCCATCGAAAGCACTCCCAGGGGTGTGCTTCTGTCTTGGGATGGGGTGTGTGAGTGCTTGGGATGAGCTGCCTTACAGCCATGGGCACTGGATGGCCCTTCTGGCAGCAGACAGCCAGAGGCCTTCAGTCCTTCACTGAGGGACTGTCCTAGTGTTTATTCAGAATGTAAAGTTTACCTGTGTTTAAGAAGGTGAATGGACATACTAGTAGTCCAAGCAGAGTTGTCATGAAAGAAGTTTAAGGGTCCTGATTGACTAGAGCACTAATTAGGTCTCCAATCAAAATGACTTCTGTACGTTGAAACGGACACCAGTCCTTCACATGAGCATAATAAGGTCACAACCCAGGATCTCTCTTTTTTTTTTTTTTGTCACTCGTGGGACTTAAACTTCGGGCCTACGCACTATTGTCCCTGAGCTGTTTTTGCTCAAGGCTAGCACTCTACCACTTGAGCCACAGCTCCACCTCTGGCTTTTTCTGTGGATATGGTACTATGGAAGAGAACCTAGAGCTTCATGCATGTAGACAGGCCTTCTACCACTAACGTACCTTCCCAGCCCCCAGGACCTCTGACTTAATGTGTGACTCAGCTCTGAATTTGATCAGTGCAGCCTTTTGCCATGGTTATGGCCACATGACTCCTCTGATAACAACATATGCTTCAAGGAAAGAGGATGGGCATTTTAATATTTGGACTTTCTGTTTTTAGCTATGTGAAAACTTCTGAGAAACTTGGAGAATGGAATGAGAAAGTGACCCAGTCTGACCTGTGAGTACTCATGCTTTGACTCCCCAGTTCTCTGTCCCTCAACTCTCCCTGGGTCAGGGGAGCCATACACACTTGGTACCAACCTCCTTTTAGTGTTTACTGGCTATCTTTTTCTGTTTCTTCTTCTTCTTTTCTTTTCTGTTTTTTTTTAATCAATGTGGGGCTTGAACTTAGGGCCTGGATGCTGTCCCTGAACTCTTTTGTTCAAGGCTAGCACTCTAGCACTTTGACCTACAACTCAATTTTGATTTTCTGGTGGTTAATTAGAAATAAGAGTGTCATAGACTTTCCTGCCCAGGCTGGCTTTGAACTGTGTTCCTAGATCTCAGCCTTCTGAGTAGCTAAGGTTGTAGGTGGGAGCCACCAGTTCCCAGCCTGTCTTCCTCCAAGTAGAAAGAGTGAGACAGGGTACCGTAGCAGAAAGAGATTTACTCAGCCAGTGACCATACTCTTTTTTTGTGTGTGCTCATACTGTTGCTTAGGTTCAAGGGCTTGAGCTCTTGCTCAGCTTTTTTGCCCATGGCTGCCATTCTACCACTTGAGCTGTGCCTCCACTGCTAGCTTTTTGCTGATTAATTGGAGACAAAGGTCTCAGATTTGTCTACCTGGGTAGCAATCCTCAGATCTCAGCCTCCTGAGTAGCTAGGATTAGCCAATAGCATCCAGCTCTTGTTGGTAATTTTTTTTTTTTTTTTTGATTATGGGGCTTGAACTCTGGCCTGGCTCTGTCCCTGTGCTCTTCAGCTCAAAGTGAACACTTTACCACTTGAGCCACAGTGTCACTTCGAGTTTTTTGGTGGTTCATTAGAGATAAAGAGTCTCACAGACTTTCCTGCCGGGCCTGGCTTCAAACTGCTATCCTTAGATCTCAGCTTTTTGAGTAGCTAGGATTACAGGCATGAGCCTCTGGGGCCTGGCTATTGGTGAATTTTTGTGTCTTTTTTTTTTTTTTTTTTTGGGGGGGGGGGGGTCCGGTCGTGGGGCTTGAACTCTGGGCCTGGGCGCTGTCCCTCAGCTCTTCAGCTCAAGGCTAGCGCTCTACCACTTGAGCCACAGCGCCACTTCCGGCTTTTTTCTTTTTTCTTATGTGGTGCTGAGGAATGGAACCCAGGGCCTCAGGCATGCAAGGCAAGCGCTCTGCCACTGAGCCACCTTCCCAGCCCCTCTTTTTTTTGGTCTCTTTTCTTCTTTTACAGGCCAGCTATTGGGGCTTTACAGCTTCAGTTGCTCTGAGGGGAGCTTGGTGGGACTCGTGAGCCGGGCTGGCAAGACCTAAAGCCCTGTTGTCTCGTCTGCTGCGCCATTGGCCGTGCGAGGTGCCAACAGTGCCATGTTACGCATGGATAGGTGTGTGCTTGCTAGAGCTACCGTGCAGAATGCCTCCTTAATCTAAACAATAGCACATTATTTGTGTGTACTGATTACTGTGTCCTGTCACTAGGTAGGGGAGTATAGGGAATGCTGTTGTAAAACATGGCCAGGACCTTGCACACTTGATCTGAAAGAAATGCTGCTAGACTTGGTTTGTTGTGCACGGGACCTTCAGGTCTGGTGTCCTAGCTGCCAGAAGCTCTGATGGCTTAGCCAGCTGTTGCCTTAGGTATTCCAGGGGCATGAGGGAAGTGTGGGCACTCCTTTAGGGTTGCACTAAGCGATGGCTCTGCTAGGGCTCTGGATGGGCTCGCAAGCAGACTCTAGTCTAAAGATCATTTTTTATCTTTTTTTTTTTTTTTAGCCAGTTATGGGACTTGAACTCAGGGCCTGGGCACTGTTCCTGAGTTTCTTTTTGCTCAGGGTAGCACTCTACCACTTGAGCCACAGCATCAATTCTGGCCTTTTCTGTTTATGTGGTAATGAGGATTCGAACCCAGGGCTTCGTGCTTGCTAGGCAGCACTGCCACTGAGCCACCTTCCCAGCCCTGAAGATCGTTTTGGGAGATGTTTTGTGCGTATGTGAGTGAAACCACCTGACATAGAGCTGCTAGAACATTACCTCAGTGGTTTTCTGGTCCCTTGGAGAAGTTTGAGGCTCAGTGTATAAATGTGGCTGATGGGATGCCCCTTTCCAAGCATTATCCCATCCCCCTGGAGTCTCACCTGTGACTGTGTTGGTAAAGCTGTCATGATGCTGTCTCTGGAGCTGGAGGCTTTTCTGCACTGAGAGCCCAGGAGCACAGTGCACCTTGGAGGCCAGAAGCTGAGCATGTTTGCTGTGCCATGCCTCTGCCTGGGAAGGACCTATTCTGGTCAGGCTTCAGGATATAGATTACTGGTAGGATTTGACACCTGTAGTTTTTGTAGGGAAAGGTGAGCTCTTGAACTTCAATGAGCTATGTGTTTATAGATTCCTTTTAGCCAGCAGCACCCTAAGCGGGCAAGAATAGAAAGTAGAGCTCCTGTAGGTGCTGTGATGTCTGCCTCTTGGGGCTTCGGAAAGCTGTGTGTCATTTACACAGCTTAGAAGCCACTGGGCTTCTCAGCCACTTCTGTAAGTGGGAGCAGCTGACTTCTGTGAGTCATGAAACTTACCTTGTTGTATTTCTTTTATATAGATGTATCTGAAAGCCTGCAGTTTATAGTTGATGCATTTTTTAATTTTTCAGGCTATCGATGGCAGCCTAGCTAAAAAGTGTCAACCATTGCCAGGTACCCATGGCTCAGGCCTGTTATCTTACCTGCTCTGGAGGCTGAGATCCAAGGATCATGGTTCAAAGCCAGCCCAAGCAGAACAGTCCCTGTGAGACTCTTATCTCCAAGTAGCCACTCAAAAGCTAGAAGTAGAGCTGCGGCTCAAAGTGGTAGAGCAAAAGAGCTTAGGGACAGGGCTCTGTCCTTGAGTTAAAGCCTCACACCCCAAAAAACAACAAGAAAAAAAAAAGTGTCAACCAAGCAGTGAGATAGGAGGACTCCCTTGGTAAAGAAGCCCCTGCTTCTAGTTTTGCAGGCTGACAAGATGGTCCAGGTGTCTGGCTGGCCCTACTTGAATTGAGGCAGCCTTGAAAGGACTCTTAAGAGGTCTAAATAACTATCCAAAAAAAAAAGAGCTACCTGGGGAGGCATAGCCTAGCCTCCTCATCCTTTTTTTTGTGTGTGTGTGTCGGTTGTGGGGCTTGAACTCGGACTGGGCGCTGTCCCTGAGCTCTTCAGTTCAAGGTGAGCATTCTACTACTTGAGCCACAGTGCCACTTCCAATTTTCTAGTGGTTTATTGGAGATGAGTCTCATGGACTTTCCTGCCTGGGCTGGGTTTGAACCTGGATCCTCAGATCTCAGCCTCCTGAGTAGCTAAGGTTACAGGCGTGAGCCACCGGCACCCGGCTCATCCTTACCTTGTAATGATTTCTAGAGCACCAGTAAGTGTATTTGCATGTGTGTCTGTGTGTGTGTCTGTGTGTGAGTGTACAAGGCACTGGAACTCATGGAACGGTTAGAGATCTGAGATGATTTTTCCCCCCCTTTTCTATTTTCCTTGGAGACAGAGCTAGCCTAGCCTGACCTCAAACTCAAGGTCCTCTTGCTTCAGCCTCCTAAGTTCTGGGACTTAGATTTTTATCATCAAAGCTGCTATATTTCTGTATTTTTTTTTTTTAATGGGGCTGGCAACTAGATGTTGCCGTTTTTGTGATCTCAGACCTGGTATCTTATACAAAAAGGGCTTGGTCCCAGTGCTGCTCTATTTCTTACAGACAGTTTTGCTTCCCTGCTTTGGCAGGAAAGTGCCAGGTGACAGGCACAGATAATGCCATCCAGGCCAGGAAAAAGCAAAGGAGTCCTTTGTGAGCTGCCAGACATACCCATGTCCAGCCTTTGTCAGTCTGCTTGTTCTGTGGCTGACAGATGCTTTCAGGATCTCCTGCAGGGAGTGAGCATGGAATGAGAGGAAGGTTTTGGAAGGCCGTTACTGGTGCCTGCTGTGACCTAGTGACACCAACAGGGATTGGAGGAGCCTTAGCTTCTGGGGAGGCTGCTCAGCTGCTGCCCCTCAGGACTGGCCGAGTTTTCTGGGAATAAACTCTTCGAGTTTCTCTGGTTGTGCTAGATGACCTCACCTAGTCCACTAAGCTCTAAGTTCTTCCAGCCTTTCAGTGAGGCTCTGTGACCTAGATGTGTTAAATTTGGGGCTTGGTCATAGGTTTTGTCACTAAGGCTTCCAGGTCTTTTGCAAAAGCCAGCCTTCTTACCTGTTGACTTTCTTGGTAAGCCTCGAAGTCTCTTCCATCCCTACGTTCCTCCTGTTGGTGTGGAGGACACCGTGGGCTCCTTGGTGACTACATGTGGATGGATAGGGTAGGAGAAGGAAAAAGGGTTAAGACCATATGCACTTTGGAGGGAGTGTGCGAATGGAGCTTCTGGAAGGACGTTGTCAGACAGTGCAGAGAGTGGAGGACTCCTCAGTCTGGAGAAGCTACCACACAGGTGCAGTTTGTGCTGGGAACATCCTCCGGGGGTGAGTTGTGTTTGCTTGGTTCAGGAGTTGCAAACTTTTCTGGCTGATTTTGTCTGTTCAGGCATTTTCTGAATGCACTGGTGTGCATTCAGACCCAGTATCTCTTTGGCTTGTTTTCTCTGTAGCAGGCAGGTGTTGCATTTCCCAAGCAGTCCTAGGTGCTGTGGGAAGATGAGAAAGTAAAGGAAGTCTCAGATGATGTAGAGGTGGAGCTAGAGTTATGAGATGAGGACATGAGCCTGCAGGGCAAAGACCCCTAAGGGCAGAGGAGCCAGAAGAATGCTCCCCCTGTGAGGTGGTGCTTACCACCAGCCAGACTTCTCTCTTCTCCTTTCTTGATTGTTCTTTTTGGCTGTCCTTGCTGTTTGGTGGTTCTAATGTGTGTCTTGTTCCTAGCTACAAGAAGACCCAGGAAACGCTGTCACAGGCTGGACAGAAGACATCTGCTGCCTTGTCTACCGTAAGCTCCGCGATCAGCAGAAAGCTCGGCGACATGAGGTGAGCCCCTCACTTGGTCGCTTGCAGCCAGTGCTCGAGGCCTGGACCAGCCTCCTGTGGACCTTTTAGGGAAGGAGGTGCTTGCTGCTGGCTCACCTCTGTATTCTTGGGGGGATCATTAGTCCTCAGAGTAGCTCTTGATGCTTAGGTCTCTCTTCCATCGGGCTCTGTAAAGAGGCAATGATACAGTCTGGAAATTAGGGTCAGGAGGGGATGAGGCAGAGCACAGCCTGTTTCTAGGGCCAGCACAACATGTCCTCAGGATGTTTGCCTGGCCTAGGGCTGGCTAAGCTGCGTGGTGGTAAGCCTCCTGACAATTGGGCATGCCACTGCTGTCCTGTCCTGGCTCTCAGGGACTGGCACGGAGGTGAGACAGGGTTTTCTTGGAACCACTGTGGGAAGATGCCACCCCCTCCTTTTTGAACGTGTCCATCTTACCCAAAGTGCACTGGATACGCAAGTGCCTATCTCCATGAGGAGCGCTTGTGTTTAATTCTGGGTGGCTTACTCATTTTAAGTGTTCTTTCTTCTGGGTTTGTTTAGAGCATCCAGGTGGAAGTATGGTAGAGCAAGCCCCGGGTGCTGATGGGAATGTGAGCCATATGGTTGGCCATTCTTATATAGCCTGCCTTTTATGGGAGCACAAGGACCTGCTACTACATCTTCACTGTTCCTTCTCTGCTAAGGAATGCAGCCTCCATTCTCCACCTAGAGCACTAAGACTTATCCCCCACTCTGGGTGTACAGCCTCTGGGCCCTGGCAGGCCACTGTGCTAGCAAAGTCGTGTCTGGATGCCTGGCTTCACCACTTTGCATGAATTGGGCCAGCCAGGGTGAGCAAGAGCTTTAGAAGAACTGACTCTCTTCTGATGGTTGCTTAAGTACCTGAAGGGTTTTTTCATATGCTAATGTCTCCCCTGAGAGGGCACTATTGTTGGTATTTGTACTAATTGTGTGAACACTGACCTCTTGGGGCCCTGGCAGATCCCAGTCATCTCACCAGATGGTCACAGTAGTTTCTGAGGCCAAGTCCATCAGCCTCCTAGTTTAATGACAGTGACTGAGAGTTGAGGGCTTCTTGAAAATGACATCCAGACTTAGGAGGCTCCCAGCATGAGCATGAGTTTATAGGTAGATGATCCCTTATGACCCTTTCTGACCCTTGGGTCCAAGTCTTACAGCAGGCCCTCCTGAGGCAATGCTTCCCCAGGCCCTTTGGTGCACCCTGGGGCTACAGGTAACGGTGGGGGGGGGGGGCTGAAACTGGGTTTGTGTCACAGTGGTTTGCCCTAGGGTGCCCACTGGCCTGTGACCACCTGGTACAAGAGGCACCAAGCCTACTTGCATCCATGTAGTAGTGAGTGAATTCTTGAGGGCTGCTTTCCATGTTGTGAGTGGCCTTCTTTGACTTTAGGCACGTTAATGGTGGAAGTCTGAATGTGCTGCAGAAGGATGTCTAGCATGCTACCCCTGTGCCAGAAGCCACTTTTTTTTTGGTCGGTCATGGGCTTGGGCGCTGTCCCTGTGCCCTTCAGTTCAAGGCTAGCAACCTGCTGGTTGAGCTACAGCGCCATTTCTGGTTTTCTAGTGGTTTATTGGACATAAGAGTTTCACGGACTTTCCTGCCCAGGCTGGCTTTGAACCGAGATCCTCAGATCTCAGCCTCCTGGTAGCTAGGATGACAGGTGTGAGCCACCAGCGCCTGGCTAGCAGCCACTTTTATACATAAATGTTTCCAAGCTGGCCTCTCTGAAGTGACAGCCTAGAACAGAAATACTTGTCATTGAGTGTGTTTTAGGTCCTTTTATGATGCTTTTGTTCCCATTTAGCATTAGAAAACGTAGGCCACTCCATGGAGATAGTGTCAGACCAGCCTGCTGGTAGCACAAACCAGCTTCACTGTAGCACATGCTCTTAACCTCCACTGTGTGGACACGGAGCCTCTCGTATACGTGACTGTGCCCAGAAATAGAGAGCCATGGGCCCCTTAGTTGCTGATTGTGCTCTCCTGCGAACCTCTTTGGAGGCACGTGTCCTTCCATCTCTGCTGGTGTGAGCACTGGAGGGCGGTTGGGGTTTCCTTACAAAGCATGAGCAGAGAAGCCTGAGAGGCATAGGGTTGCTGAGGGTGGATGGGGCTGTCTTGTGGGTGCTGGCCTCCTTTGCATAATGCTGCTTTTCTTCTTTCTTCCTGCGGCCACCATTCAGGGCTCATCCGTTCTCGCATTCCTTTAGGTAAGAGTGATCTCGGACAAACCTGTGGAAGGCTTTTTCTCTGTGGGTTCCTTGGGAGCTGTGCTGGGTGGAGGTGGGTGAACTGGTGTGGTGGACACACTGGTGGATGGCTTTTTTCTGAAGCAGGGCTCCTTGGGAGCTGTGCTAAGTGGAAGTGGATAAGCTGGTGTGACAAAAACTCCCAGCAGGGCAGCACCCACCAGGCAGCTGCTGTTTTGAAAGCAGCATGGTCCATATAGGGCTACCATCCCTAGCTTCCTTGGCAAGTGTATCTACTCTGGGTGCTTGGTGGACACATGTCATCTGCTGCTGCTGGACATGAGTGGCTGACCTGGCCTGGCACAGTGACTGTGTCTCAGTGTTTGTTGTACTCCTGAAGAGAAGCACTCTTCTATAGGCGGTGATGCTGCCCCTAGCCCTCTGTTCCCTGTCCTTGGAGACCCCAGGTCCTGCCTCCTTGCTCCCTGACCAGCAGTCCTGTCCCTCAAGCTGTGTGTTCTCTCATTCCCTGTAATTACCTTTGGATAATCCTTGACAGAGGTTCCTCCCCTGTGCTGACATGGTAGCATCCAGGTGCCCTTGTTGGTTCTGGAGGCCAACTACCAAATCTATGTTTTTCTTTCACCAAGAGATCATTTATCTTGCTGTGAGTGTATCTGAAGGTTCTGTGGACTGAATGTTTCCAGAAGCTCCAGGCTTAGGTCTCCTCACAGCTTTCCTATTTTAAAGGTCTTCCTCTGGTGGCCTTGGTACCTCCTGTGGAGGCAGGAGGGAAGCCTAGGGCAGCTCTCCTCCTAGACATTATGCAGAGGGGCCAGTATCTCTTTCCAGGGTCCTACCACTTCCCCCACTTAGAAGTTTATGTGTAACCAAGGCTGGCAAGCTTGTGCTGGTCTAGCTCCCCCTGCTAACTCTTAACCTCCTTCTCTGCTTCTACCATGCTTCCAAGCAGCAGCTATTCCATCCGCCACTCGATAAGCATGCCAACCATGAGGTAAAGTATACTTACTTCCGCTGTTCCAGAGTCATCCCTGGGTAGGGGCAGGGCAGCTCTGTCAGTTATACCACGTACTTCCTCTTTCTTCCAGTACGGGAATCCCCAGGGCAGGGTCATTCCTCTGGTGGCTTCCTTTTAGCTAACGGCTGGCAAGGAAGAGCTGGAGGGAATGAAACTCTCCCTGAGGCTTCATAACAGCCCTATCCAGAGCTTGGCAAACATGGTCCTGGAGGCTTGAGGGGTCACTGAGAATAGGGCAGAGAACCCACTCTCAGTCAGAAGCGGCTTGCAGGAGAGTCCTCATGTCTCTGAGCCCCATGGTGATAGTCCTCAGAACAGTGTAGCTTTGCAGAGCCCATTCTTGTCAGGGAGACTCTGTTGGGGACTTGGTTGTATGAGGACTGGTGGGATGGAGGCTGCCTGCTTCCTTAGCCCTTCACAACTGTCCTCTCTCCTGTTACTTGACTTCATATAACAAAGGCCCTTAGGCCTTACCATGACCCCAGTACAGAAGAGCCAAGGGGTCTCCACCCCTTCCCCTAGATTTTGAGGACAAAATCTAGGGCCTTATGTATGTATTAAATAGATGCTACCACTGAACTACATCCTCAACCCAGCCTGGGATGTACAGAACATCCTGCCCAGAACATGGTCAGGGGGTTTGCATTGCTCCTGTGTGACATTTGCACCTTCCCTGGAAAGCCCTGACGTGGTCCTGGATAGACTATGCCAAGAGCCCCCCCCCCCCCCCCCCCACACACACACAGATACACACACTCCCTTTCTTGTGTGTCACATTGTTGCAGTGGAGATGCGGTCCTTGTTAGGGAACCATCTAGGTGTGATCCTAACCCTAAAGTTCTTCAGATTGAGGAGGTGGCACTGCAGCTGCTCACCACACAACACTTGTCCCCTCTTTCTTTAAAGGAACTCTGCAACCTTCAAGTCATTTGAAGACCGAGTGGGGACCATAAAGGTAACTGTCCCTAGACCGTTGGTTCTCATATTTACGCTAGGTTTTTAAAAAGAGGTAGCCAAGTAAGGACATCACCACGCACGTGGTATTCAGGTAAGGGGTAGGTTTATTCATCGTTCGGCTGGCACCAGGCCATCTTGGTCCTTTACAAGGTGGGGAAAGGCCTGGGAAAGAGATCTGGGAGAGCTGGGAAAGAGAGGAGAGCTGGGAAAGAGAGAGAGCTGGGAAAAGAGAGGAGAGTTGGGAAAGAAAAGAAAAGGAAATTGCTGAGAAAGAGCTAGAAAAGAACAGAGAGAGAGAGAGCATCTGGGCCTGGGCTAGGCCTTATGGAGAAAGGTGTGGCCACATCAAATTCAGATGTGACCTCAGCGGTTGCAGATGTGACCTCTTCCAGATGTCCCAGTTGCCTAGGTAACGCAGGTACTGGGTGGAGGCTTAGCTGCGGAGGGTGGAGTCTGCTAGCCATCCAGGAGCGGACCTTACAGATAGGACCTGTCACATCAACTTCTTTAGTGTTGTAAACTCAGATTGCAAGAAATCATGCAGAGGTTCCTTGAACCCTTTATTTCATGCCATTTCCTGCAGTAATGATGTCTTGGACAACTTGGGTGCAATCTCATGACTAGGACAGGAAACACAGAATGTCTGTGTTCACCAGGAACACACTTCCTCCTGCCCCTGCTCTGCCAGCTGGTAATCTGTGCTCCATTTTGTAACTTGAAGAAAGTTACTTAAGTGGGACCTCAGACCTTTGGGGACTGGCTTTCTCTCCATTCTGTCTAATTTTCCGGTGACCTCTCCAGGTTGTAGTTGCCTGTCAGTAACGTATTCCATTCTATTGCTTTGCAGTGTTAACACTGCATAAACCTAGGTAGACAATTTAGCCTGGGCTAGTACCTACCTTGTATGTGTACATGTCTTAGGATTTTTCTCTTGATCTTTTCTCTTCTGTAGTCTAAGGTTGTAGGTGGCAAAGAGAATGGCGGCGACAACCTCCCTTCCCCGACAGGGAGTGGTGACCAGCCCCTGCCGGATCACTCACCTTTCTAAGCCTGTAAGAGCTCACCAGCCACAGAACACATGCAAGCATACCTCCTCATCACATCTGCCACTCTGCCCAACGGAACCACCAGCCAGGGCCCGTGAACAGCTGGTTTTGAGGACAATCATGCTTGTCTACGTGCAGATGTGGCTGCTGCCTTCGCATGAGTTAGAGAACACAGTCTTGTACATAGATGTTTTACACTAAAGTTCATAGATGAAGCAGATCACTGTGCCATCCTTTCTAGAGCAACAGGAAGTGGGCAGGGTGGAGGGGTACTGAGCCAAAGCCCTTGCTTCCTTTGGAGATTAGCTCACCGAACATTGAAGGAGGAAGTGCTGTGAGTATGAGTGACATTTTCTGACCTTTCCCCCTTCTTAACTTGAATATATTCACAGGAGATTTACTGCCTGGTCAAAGGTTTTATTTTGAGATGCTAGATTAGAAGACTGTTCATTTTCTGAGACTCTAGAAAGGAAACATTGTCAGCTGCTGCCTGATTGTTACACTAATGACCTGGCTTTGACAGAAACAGATTCACTATTTTTTAAATGCAACAGACTTTTCAAAAATTAAAACTAGGCAAAACAGCTTTAGCCTCATTGTTAGGGAATATTATTTCTTTGGACTTAAACTGAAATTCAAGCCTTACATCGCCTTATGCTTTGTTTATAATCTTTTTATATATAAAAAATAAGAGTTCTTTAGTGGGTTCTGAGCACTCTGTAGACTTTTACATGAGGATCTTGTTGCACCCTGCCTGTTTGTTACCAACCTATGTGTTTTATTTCACTAATACCTTTTCTCCTAGTATGCAAAAACTGCTTCTCTCAAAACTGGCCCTGACTCCCCACACTGGCCAAAAACCTCATGTGCCTATGGGGCCTGCAGGCTAGTAAGAGAAGGGAGGCTTTGTCCTTAGCATCCTGTGAATGATACATGTCCAGCATAGTGCTTCCTTCCTTGGGCCTGGCCTGGCTGGTCCAGCTGTAGCTGGTGCCTCTAGCCTGCCTGTTTACTGAATACAGGATGAGCGAGAAGCAGAACTAGCCCCACAGGTCAGGTCAGGGGTGAGGTTATGGGTCAGTCCAAACCCTGTTGTAATCTTTTCTCAGAAACTACAGAAATTTCTTCCCCATTTTTAATTGCCACACCTTGACAAAGTTTCTCACACCAGGACCCTTTGAGTTAAGAGGTGTGGTTTGGAGCAAAGGCCTGAATGGCTCTTAGCAGGGCACTGGGACAGTGCTGTGTGCGTGTCTGTGTACTCTTCCTGGGGAAAAATGGCTGTTTAGCTCACAGTGTCCTTAATGGGACACTGCAATGGGACTGTACGATGTTTTCTGGCAACCAAGTGCTCTGGCTACTTTGGACACCCTTGGGGGACTGCACTACACCATGATTAGAACACTTGGGGCTGGAGAAGAGTACTATTTGGTGTCCACTTTCCAGAGCTAAACACTTACTAGTGTGAGCAGGCAGTGCAAGTGCAGGTCACTGATGTGTCTTCCTACAGTGAATAATGGGAAATTTGTCAATAAAGCATTCCTTTGGGGGAAAATCCACATGTGTGGTGTGTCTTTTGGAAAGTGAGCGTGTAAGGCCTTGGTGTCACAAGCCCCACATCCTTGGGAGAGGCAAGCATTGACAGTTAGAAGGTGGCTCATACCTGTAATCCCAATCTAGTTCTCCCCTGAATCTACCCTATTTTGGTTAATTCTTTTATGTCAGTAGTGGGGCTTGAACTCAGGACCTGGGGCATTTAGGATTACAGGTGTGAGCCACCGGCATCTAGCTTTCCACTAATACTTTTGTGTACACTAGCATACCACCCTGAAGTGTTTACTTATAAGTTAATTCTGGCTTCCATATAGGAGATGAAACGTGTATCAGTTGTCTCTTTGGGCCTGTCTTATTTAACATGGTTTTTTTCCCAGGATTTTCCATTTCTTTGCAATGATGTAATATTCTTTCTGATGGATGTGTAAAATTTCACTGTAAATATGCCACACTCTCTCGATCCATTTGAAGAACTCCTTGTTTGAAAGTAATTTATTTACAGTGTTCAAAGGTGAAAGCTGGCTAGGTGCTGGTGGCTCACGCCTGTCATCCCAGCTACTCAGGAGGCTGAGATCTGAGGATCGCGCTGTGAAGCCAGCCCTTATCTCCAATCAACCACTCAAAAACCAGAAGTGGCACTGAGGTTCAAGTAGTAGAGCACTAGCATTGAGCACAGAGAGGCTCAGGGACAGCGCCCAGGCCCTGAGTTCAAGCCCCAACCAAAAGAAAAAAAAGAAAAAAACAATACTATTCAAAGAAGTGTTCAGAAACAAGCTACCATTTTCCACCTACTTTCTATGGCAACTGTTATGGAACGTCACCCTAGTCACCCTAGTGTCTCTTCGTGCAAAAAGATGGGAATATGAACATGTATTCTTGGCTTTCCTACTCATAACAACAACAGGTACTATGCACCCTGCTCGTGTCTCGTGTGTGTGTTGTGTGTGTGTGTGTGTGTGTGTGTCCTGGGCTTGAATTCAGGGCCCGGGTGCTGTCCTTTAGCTTTGTCACTCAAGGCTGGTTGGTGCTCTACTACTTGAGCCACAGCTCCACGTTCCACTTTTGTAGAGTTTCACAGATTTTTCTGCCCAAGCTGACTTCAAACTGTGATGCTCAGAACTCAGCCTCCTGACAACTAGGATTCTAGAGGCATGAGCCACTGGCACCAGCTTGCTTTTCACTCCTCAGTGTGCTCTGCTAAGATCACTACTTGGCTTCACCTCTAAAGACCCTTATGGAGGAGGAGTCCAGCCTTTCCCTTGCTGCCTGTGATATGGTTCCCTGCCACCTGGGGAGTTCACTGTGGGAATCCCCTTTAGTAGTAAGGTCCTTCTCTGTTGTGAACTGGCCTAGATGTAACAGGAAGTGGCGCTGGGGCTCAAGGGGTAGAGCGCTTGCCTTGAGCTGAAGAGCTGAGGGACAGCGCCCAGGCCCAGAGTTCAAGCCCAGGACCTACAAAAAACAAACCCAAACTCTTCCTGAGTCTTAAGTATGCTGTCAAGGCAGAAGCTGCCTTTCTTTTGAGCACTGCATCTGGCTTGGTAGGTAGTACCTGGCCTGGGTGTAACTGCAGGGAAGTTTTAAGTGGCCTTGAATCAACACTAGAGTGGGGTTTTTTTTTGGGGGGGGGGGAGTCCGGTTGTGGGGCCTCAACTCTGGGCCTGGGCGCTGTCCCTCAGCTCTTCAGCTCAAGGCCAGTGCTCTACCACTTGAGCCACAGCACCACTTGTGGCTTTTTTCTTTTTGCTTATGTGGTGCTGAGGAATCAAACCCAGGGCCTCATGCTTGCCACTGAGCTACCTTCCCAGCCCCTAGAGTGGGCTTTGTGGTAACAAAAAGTAGAAAGCATCCCAGCTGCCTGTAGTCAACACTTGCCTAATTGTATTTGGAAGTGGATTCTGTGGGACAAGAATGGATTTGTGTGCACCAGCCCTCGAGGTCACTGCAGTTCCGTTAGGGCAAGATCCCTGAGGAACTAGTGGGGTGAGACTTAGTGAAGTGTTCTGAAGGCTCTGAGGACTGAAGCTGGTGAGATATTTGGAGTGGCTGGCAATGGGGAGGAACATCACAGTTTTATTTTTTTGCTAGTCCTGGGGCTTGAACTCAGGGCCTTAGTTTTTTTTTTGAGCATTTGAGCCACAGTTTTGCTTTCTGGTTCTGGGGGAGGGAGGTGTTAATTAATGGGAGGTAAGAGTCTCACAGACTCTCCTGCCTGGACTGGTTGTGAACCAAGATTCTCTCATCTCAACCTCCTGAGGAGCTTGGATTACAGGTGTGAACCACCAGTGCCCAGCTGTGTCTTGTTCGTTTAGTTTTTCCTTACCATCTTGAGGTTTGAACTCAGGGCCTGGGCACTGTCCCTGAGCTGCTTTTGCTCAAGGCTAGCGCTCTACCACTGAGCCAATTCCCAGTTTTCGTAGGTCTTTTTTATTATTTTTTCCTGCTTGTTGGATGTTACACAGTTTACTGACTGCTCGGAGGTGTCTTCAGCACTGTGCTGCTGCTGCTGGCCTCCGAGCCTGGAACAAGCGTGGCAACTCTAGACCAGCAAAAAAGTAGAAACAAAACGCAGGTGGGGGAAGATGGTAAGGGAGCGGGGGCTGGTGTGGTGGAGTGGTTTGGACTTACAGCGACGGTGCAAGGCTTAGCTGCCATCTGCTTCCCGGTTTTGAAGGGAAACTTGAAAATGGCCAGCAGGCAAGGCTGGAAGGGAGGCTGCGGGCACTGCGTGCAGGCTCCCGCCTGGCATCCCAGCGACTCTGGAGAGGATCGCGGTTCGAAGCCAGCCCGGGCAGGACTCCAATGAACCACCGGGGAGCCGGAAGTGGCGCGGCGGCTCGCGCGGACAGCGCCGGGCCCGCGTTCAAGCGGCGCGCACCTGCCCCGGGAGCACACAGCCGCAGAAATGGCCGGGCAGCTAGAGCGCGCCGGCCGGGGCGGCGGGGTGCCGCGGGAGGGACGGGGCTCCGGAGGCCAGCTGCGCCGCGGCGCTGCCGGGCCGGCGGGCAGGGGGAAGGAGCCGAGCCCGCGGCGGGCTCTCCACTTCGGCCCGGCTGCGAGACTAGCCGGCACTTCCGTGCTGCCGTCGTGTCGTCCGTCTCCCGGGCTCGGGGCACCGGGCTTCCTCCGGGGCAGGCTCTGGGCCGCCCCCCTCACGCCGGCCTGGCCCCGCCCCTGCCGGGCGGTGGGAGCGCCCGGAAGCATCGCCGGTTGGCTGTCAGCATAGGCCCCGCCCTCGTGAGGCGGGGCCTCGGCGCCCGGCTGTCATACGGAGCCCCTCCTCCGCGTGGGCAGAGCCTCCGTTTGGCGCTTGGGGCGCGTGCGCGGCAACTGGGGGTGGAGACGGCTCACGTCTTTTCGGGGACGCGCGCGCCAGTGCGGGTGCGTGCGTGAGCGTGCGCGTGCGCGTCCCTGCCGCCGCCGGTGCTGCTCCCGCGCCCTCGGCCGCCGCCGCCGCCGCCCCCGCCGCCCCCTCCGCCGCCCGGGTTCCACTGGCTGAAGAGCGCGTCGGCCGGCTGCCCAGCAGCGCCGCGGAGCGGCGAGCGGAACCGCGGAGCCGGCGGGCGGGCGGGAGAACAGGTGAGCTGGTTGCGGGCCGGCCGGGCGAGCCCCGAGGCCGACCGACGAGGGCCGCGGGGATCTGGCCGGCGGCGAGGGAGCGGGGCCGCGGCCGCGGGGCGGGGGCCGGGCCGTGAGGGCGGCGCGCGGAGGGGCGGGCGGCGGGGCCGGCGGCCGCGGCCGGAAATGGCGGCCGCGCTGTGCGGGCGGCCAGGGCGGCGGGGCCGGGGCGCGAGGCCCGGCCGGGCCCGGCGCGGGGGCGGGGCGGCGCCCGTCCGCACGGCCGCGCTTGCAGCCGAGTCGCGGCGCCCCTCGGGCCGGGCCGCGAGCTCGCCGGCCCCGCCCGCCCGCCGCGACCGCCGGGCCCGGGAGCAGGAAGCGCAGCTTCGAACCCGCAGCCTTGGGGCGCGCCGGCCGTCGGCGCAGGACCTGCCCCGAGGACAAAGCGCCGCCTCCGCCCGGGGCCCGCGGAGCCCCGACCCGCGCCGCGTCGCCCCCGGCTGAGCGAGGAGCCGCCGTCCGGTGCGGGAGCCGGACCGCAGGGCCCGCCGCGGCCGGCAGCGCCGGAGGCCGGCGGCTCTGGCTGGCCCGTCGCCAGCGGCGGCGCTGGGCAGCCTGTCGGTGGCCTGACCCGCGTTCCCCCGCGTTCCCCTGCGTCAGAAGCCGCCGCGCTGACCTCTGAACAAACCGAGGACCCCGCCCTGGGACCCTCGCCCCCCCCCCCACGCACACACTTAGAATTTCCTCTTCCCACTTCCCATTCGCTCGTTTCTTGTCTGTCTGTCTGTTTTGTGTTGGCAGTAGGGCTTGAACTCAGGGGCCTGCTCTCGTACTTGGTGGCTTTTTCACTCAAGAATTGGTGCTCTACCATTTGAGCCACAGTTCCACTTCCTCCCACCTCCTACTGTCTCCTTGCCTTGCTTCATTTTCCCGCAGCGCTTGGACCTCGCTAATGTCCCGTTTAGTATATTTAGCGTTTCCTATTAGGTGTGATCCATGAGAAATTATTTTTTCAAAGAACAGTTGTCTGCAGATAGTAATGTGCCTGGTCTATAGAAATTGAGCTTACTAGTAGCAGTGCTACATGATGACCTTGTCACCTGGAAGCATGTTGGTGAGTACTGACCACTTAAGAGGCACAGGGCTTCTGAAAGGTGTACGGGAAGTAAGTACCACATGTCCCCAGAAAGTAACTGTTAACTCCCTGCTACCTACTGGGGAAAGGCCAACCAATTAAAAGGGGGTCAAAGGTGTTTAGGATTTTCCTGTAAATCTGTTCGAAGGTGTATGTGCATGCACATGTGTGCATGTGCACACACATGTGTTAGTCTTAAGGATTGAACTGAGGGCCTGTGTGCTGTCTCTGCTTTTTGGCTCAAGGCTAGCGCTCTACCACTTGAGCCAGAGCTCTGCTTCTGGCTTTTGGGTGATTAATTGGAGATGGGAG